AGCCCTGATTTTCTTTCAATTTGCTGCAGTCATCACCTCCCTGTTAGGCAAGGAGCAGAAATACACATCACCAGACTTGCACCAACCTTCAGGAAACAGGAATAAAACATAAATTAAGATGGCTTATATATTATTATAAACAATTTGTTATTCAAATTCACAAAAGGGGATATTCATCAGGCAAGCTATCCTAAAAAGCTTCCTATTAAGAAACAAATTCCAAAGTTTAACATTTGAAAACTACATAATTTGAATACATTTTTGAACCATCTAATGGAATATCAGATTGATTCCACATGTGCAGAGCTTGTAAATAGCTCAGTAATTCCTCCACTGTTTCCAGACACAAACTAATGGCCTCCTTTTCTTTCCCTGATAGAAAATTAGGCTTTTTTTTTTCAGGGTCGGGGGAGATTGTGGGGAAGCAAGGACTATAATGGAAAAATGTAGTTCATTCAGGACTTCAGGGCAGTATTAGAGATTATGTAAATCTTTTCTTCACAGAGTATGTGCCTGTGAAGAGAAAAGCCCCCCACAATTTCAGGGATCAGCACACAGCCATGTAACAAGCTAAATTTTTGTCTTGTTTTTTAAAATCTTTGAATTATATTGTGTGCATTTATAACTGATAGAAAAGAGTTGTTTCAGTGAGGGGCACTAAATAAATAGAAGAACAGGATTAGCCTTACATAAAAATACTTCCATATTCAGGAGTCATTCATTTCTCTCATTTTGAAACTCTTTAGTTGGAGAAATGCCAGATCATGAGACACGGGGGTCAGAACACCTGGATTTTTTTTTTTTAATAAATTTATTTTATTATTTTTGGCTGCGTTGGGTCTTCATTGCTGCACACGGGCTTTCTCTAGCTGCGGCGAGCGGGGGCTACTCTTCGCTGCGGTGCACGGACTTCTCATTGTGTGTAGAGCACGGGCTCTAGGCACGTGGGCTTCAGTAGTTGTGGCTCACAGGCTCTAGAGCACAGGCTTAGTAGTTGTGGCACACGGGCTTAGTTGCTCTGCAGCATGTGGGATCTTCCTGGAATAGGGCTCAAACCTGTGTCCCCTGCATTGGCAGGTGGATTCTTAACCACTGCGCCACCAGGGATCAAATCCCAGAACACCTGGATTTGATCCAGATTTTGTGATCTCGAAACCATCTTATGCCTTGGAGTCAATCCCAGCATCACTTGCTCTGCCACATGATTTCTAATGTACAATATCCTCCCATCCACACTCTGGGACCCCGAGATGATAGTGATTTTTACAGGGCTGTTGTGAAGATTAAGCAAGTAATGGCTAATATATTCTGTGTAGAACCATGCCAAGATGTGATACATGCACAGGAAATACTCATTTTTGTTCTTGCTGTCATTATTATTTAGATAATGGTTGCTAAATAATGGGACCTTCAGTTTCAACGCCAGTGCCATGTTACTTAAAATTTCATCAAAATAAAGCTAATTCTCCTGCCTGCTCAAAAAGAACACACAAATATCTTTTAAATCTTTTCCATTTACTCTCTAGCATCTGAGCTCCTGTGTTATCATAAATCAGCTTAATTTCCTTTATTAAGAAAAGACAGGGATTTCCCTGGCGGGCCAGTGGTTAAGACTCCATGATTCCACTGCAGGGGACATAGGTTCGATCCCTGGTGAGGGAAATAAGATGCAGCATGCCTCAGGGCATGGCAAAAAAAAAGAAAGAAAGAAATGACAGAACACCTCCCCAGTGTGGAAACTCCCCACAGTTTTCCAGGGCCTATGGATGGTGTCTTGGTACTGATTTCCCGTTCCATTTAAGAGGGAGCTTAGTAACTGTGAACCAGAGAGCATTCGGCCAGGCAGCAGGCACTCACAGCGTCCCTGAAGAGTTCCTAGTAGGGCCTGCTTTCCAGAGAGATCTGTGAGGGAGCCTTGCCTCAGCACTTTGAGTAGAAAGTTTAAGAAGTCAACCCTATAAAGCCCCTGAAGATGAAAGGAAGTGTTGACAAAGGACTGCAGACATCCTCTCTGTCCTTCAGTGTCCTCTGGGCTTATGAAAGCACTTTCTACAACAGATACTTAAATATTATTCACACTATAAACAAAAATCTTTTGAAATTATTTTAATTAGATTTGGGGTTTTTTTTCCATCTTGGGATGGAAACAGAGATTTCTGTTCAAAGAAATTATTGTTCCCCTTCAGAAGTCATAGGAAGTACAAGGTAACCTGACAGCCCTAGTCCCAGGAGTTTTCTAAGCTGCATTCCTTAGACCAGGTGCTTAGCATTAAGTTTTTCTGACACTGAACCAGGTGTTATTTCAGAAAAATAATTTTCAGTAGACAGAGACTGTTTCAGCAAGTTTCCTTGCTCAATCAAAATCCATTTCACACTACTCAACTCTCTGAGAGACCAAAAATCTAAGCACCTGGTATTTATAATAAAGATCTTACTCTGTGCCAGGCACTGTTCCAGGTGTTTTATTACATTAAATAATTTAATTCTCTGGAATCAGTCCTATGAGTGTTATTATTGTCCCATTTTACAGATGAGGATGAAATTCAGAGACATTAAATAACTTGCCCAGGATCACACATAGTACATAATGGAGCAAGTATTTAAACCCAAGAAGTCTGGCCCCAGAGTCCTCCATCTTAAGCACTCAATTATATTACCTTTTATTTTTCCCAAAATAAAAGCTAATGTCTTTAAATTTTAGGATATCACATAGCATACTTCCACTATAATAAAATTCTCAATACCTCACTTTAGAATGTAATTAAAGGTAATAATGTATCCCAGGAAATCAACTTACCAGTTTAATGAGCTGTGGTTCCAATATATTTCTGTGTATACATCACTTCAGTCAATCCGCAAGTGTTTATTTTCAGCAAATATGTCATCTATACCTATATAGATATATACATACATATACAGCCTATATGACAGAGGACATTGCTCAGTCTATGCTTTTCTTTGTAATAAATACTTTTCTCTAGAGTAATCATTGGCATCAGTTACACAGGAGCATGTTCAAGGCCCTTTGTGCTGGCCTTCACAGAGGAGACAAAGTTATATGAGTTAACATTTATACCTCAGTCACCTTCGTCTTTAGAGTTTTCAGTGCTGTAAGTCAGTTTGAAACACAGTGCTGTCTATATACCAGGAAGTTATGTGGCTTAGTCTATAATGATTTTGCAGAAACCCAAAGTACCACAGACATCTGAATGAGTGTTGAACCAATGATTAATTTCCAACACATATTGGAAGATATTTATTGATGAATAGTTATAATCAAATGTTGGAAATAACCTGACTAGCTATTTATAGGCACCAAAGTCCCTCAGTCACTTCTGAGGTTAGGGCTTCCCTTTCAGTTGCTATAAACACAACTTCCTCCCAAGACTCTGTTTATACGTCTCCTTGTCAAGCCAGCGCCAGTCACTGGCGCTCCTGTTTTTACTGCCACTGCCCCCTCATCCTGTTTATAGAGCAGAGAGGGTGACCACGGATGCAGAATTATTTTAACTCATCAAAACCCTGGAGAAACTATAGCCAGTTTTGTTTTGTTTTAAGACGATTCATTCGTCAGTTGGAGCTTTAGCTTAATATTGCTTTTCCAAGAGTCAGTCACATAAAGTTCATTGGCCTGAGCAAACAAAGGTGAATAATTTAAGGCAAATCATACCAAAACTAAATACCTATAGTTACAATCTTCCTTGACTTCCTCAAGGGAAAATTTACACTATCAACTCAGGGCAAAGGATCCCTTTATTTTTAAGAATGAGTCTTGTTAGAATTGCCTTGGGAATTTAAAAAAAATAGGTAGATAGATAGATAGATAAGTAGGTAGATAGATATAGATAGATAGATAACTAGCTAGATACACATAGGTAGATAGATAGATAGAGATAGATAAGTAGTTAGATAGATATAGGTAGATAGATAGATAGATAAGTAGTTAGATAGATATAGATAGATAACTAGCTAGATACATATAGGTAGATAGATACAGATAGATAGATAAGTAGTTAGATAGATATAGATAGATAGATAACTAGTTAGATACATATAGATAGATAGATAGAGATAGGTAAGTAGATAGATAGATAAGTAGTTAGACAGATATAGGTAGATAGATAGACAGATAAGTAGTTAGACAGATATAGATAGATAGATAACTAGTTAGATAGAGATAGAGAAGTAGATAGATAGATAGGTAGTTAGACAGATATAGGTAGGTAGGTAGATAGTCAGATAAGTAGTTAGTTAGATAGGTATAGGTAGATAGATAGACAAGTAGATAGATAGATAAGTAGTTAGATATAGGTAGGTAGATAGATAGATAGACAGATAAGTAGTTAGATAGATATAGGTAGATAGATAGACAAGTAGATAGATAGATAAGTAGTTAGATAGATATAGGTAGATAGATAGACAGATAAGTAGTTAGATAGATATAGGTAGGTAGATAGATAGATAAGTAGTTAGATATAGGTAGATAGATAGACAGATAAGTAGCTAGATATAGGTAGGTAGATAGATAGATAGACAAGTAAATAGATAAGTAGTTAGATAGATATAGGTAGATAGATAGATAGAGATAGATAAGTAGATAGATAGATATTTGAGCCCCACACCAATCAATTAAACCAGTTTCTTTTTTTAAAATCTCCCCTTTGATTTTGTTGTGCAGCCAAGATTATGAACCACTGCTCAAAAGTCAGTATCCATGACAAACAAATGACCAAAGAAATGTTTTACATAGGATTGGATCAAAGAGATTCCTGCTAATTTTCACCCAAACCTTCCAAACAGATTGGCATGAAATGGCCATACTGGTTGGGTACAGAAAGCAGTCCTCCGGCATAGAAGACCACACTGTGTCCTCGGATCCATTGTCCTCCTTTGACAGAGCCTCACTGTAACTTAGTCCCTTTAAGAATGGGACAAGCACACTAAGGGTTAGCGTCCAGAACCTTGTGAGCATAAAGAAGAAATTAGGTTTTGATCCTTACCGTGAGGTTCCAGTGAAAGGAGAGAACTGGGAGACTCCCTTGAAGTTCAGTGCAACTTCCTCCCTAGATCAAAAGACAGCCTTGAAGAGAAGGTATATAATGCCTTCACTGTAAGAAAGAAAGGGGAGATCAGAGATTAAAGCTCAGAGGTCCTATCTCTTGGGATGCCTTCACCCACCCAGGGATCTTTGATAAAGATGTGATGCTGCTGAAAATCAATTCAATTTCACATTGAGAAAGAGCAGAGCAGTCCCCGACAGCAGGAGCTGGCCTGGTGCTGACAGATAGGCTCTGGTGTTCCCCTATTGGATGGAAAGGATTTCAAAGAACATCTACACTAGGCAAGGCCACTCTGTAGCCATGATGGATGAGGACAGACACGAGACCACGATGTTTCAACACAACACCTTGAACATTGTCCAAACAACAAAAATGAACCAAATCCACATGTCCTGACTAATATGAGTTCCGGCTGTGGATTTACTGATTACAGCTTTAGGCGCAGTCTAGTCTCCCTTCCTTCTAGATTGGATCTATGATGACACCAGTCACAGAATTGCCTCCACTTACTGACAGTGTCCAATTCAGAGCAAAGCCCCACTTCCTCAAACCTTCACCCAAATCACCTAACACAAGCCCCAATTCTAACATTACTCATTTCTGCCACCATCCACAGTTCCCCATGAGGTGTGTTCTCTTTCACGACAACGAGCCATAAACAGATCTTGTTTACCTACGGGTGGATTCTTGGTGGTCTCTGCCAGGAAAGCATTGGCAATGTTTTCTTTAAGCATGTAGTACATGCCACTTCAAGAATAAAAGAAATGTAAGATAGGTCTTAGTATTCAAAGTGTTCAAGTGGGATAGGAAGACCTCTAGGGAATGGAACAGAACCACATGATCAAGGCTATGTGTGCACACTGGCAGAGAGGTGCCAGACCACTCTTGAAAATTGTCAAGAAGGTGAGAAATAAGCTTTGCTTTGAGAGAAGGACAGAATTAGAAGATGTAGAAGTCAGGCACACGGGCGATGGGATAACATTCCATACTGTTTCATGACTTAGGGACCCAAAAGTTTCATTCTTCTCTTGGTTCAACAATTTCATCTGTTAGCATTTTACCCCATACTTTCTTGAAGGTGAATAATTTGGAAGAAGAAAGGCACCTAATACATTTTAACTTTTCACATTTTCCTTCCGTGTTTTGAAGAAAGAAACAATGTCCAGTCCATTGTTGAGCCAAGTCCTAGAAGCACACTACAGGAGTAAAATAATGCCTGTGTTCTAAGATTGTACTAAATTCATGACACATAGAATTAAAAAAAAACAAAAAACACAGCAACATGAAAATGTCTCTGTTGACATCAGCTGGGGAGATGCATACGGTGTGTTTGAAGATTATTCAGCTGAAAAGGAGAGTCTTTCAGTGAATCAGGCCAACATAATAACCCCACAACTAACTGCAGCTGTATGACAGTTTTGTTCCTTTTTCTCCCTCTGTGTTCCATTTCAGAGATTAATTGGTTTAGACGATCAGTCAAACAATACACCACTGTGTTTCTCAAACAAATCACATCTGCATAGGATTTTATATATTCAGTCACCTCTTTATCCTTTCTGTAGTTCAGTGAGGTTTTTAAAAAATTTTTTAAGCTTTTTTTTTCTTTCAAATGAAACTTCATGCGAGCTGTGATGCAAAAGAGAATAAAGGAAGCGTGCTATCGTTGAAGTGGGGTGGACCTGGGGAGACCCATAGTCACACTCCCCACCCCACCTCTGTGCCCTTGAAGGTCTCTGAGAAATTTCTAGAACTTCAAAGAACATGATTCTAAACAACTGCTCTGTTAAATCACCTCCACAGCACTTGGCTGCTGCCTGTCAGTGATTGAAACTTGTGAACTGGCAGAAATTGAGACAGGAGAGAGGTGAACTGAGATCCTTGGCATGTGAAGAGAACATACATGGCAGAGGCTCATTACCGGCTAGGGCTCAGCTCAGCTGCCTTCAAAACTTCCTCCCACGATGGAGCCACTAGAGAAAACAGTATGGAGGCTCCTTAAAAAACTAAACATAGAGCTACCATATAACCCAGCAATCCCACTCCTGGGCATACACCTGGAGAAAACTCTAATTCAAAAAGACACTTGCACCTCAATATTCACAGCAGCACTATTTACAAGACATGGAAGCAACGCAAGTGCTCATCAACAAATGAATGGATAAAGAAGATGTGGTATATTTATACAATGGAATATTATTCAGCCATAAAAAAGAATAAAATAATGCCATTTGCAGCAACATGGATGGATCTAGATTATCATATTAAGTGAAGTAAGTCAGACAGAGAAAGACAAATGTCATATGATATCACTTTTATGTGGAATCTGAAAAAATGATACAAATGAACTTATTTACAAAACAGAAACAGACTCACAGACATAGAAACAAAAAGTTATGCTTACCAAGGGTTCTGGCAAGGTGAGGGAGTAAAAGGACATGTGCTCACTCCCTCTTGTGAGAGCACTGGATCACAACAAATTAATAACTAAGATCGCTGAAGAAATCAAAGAGGAAATCAAAAAATACCTAGAGACAAATGACAATGAAAACACGACAATCCAAAACCTATGGGATGCAGCAAAAGCAGTTCTAAGAGGGAAGTTTATAGCTACACAAGCCTACCTCAAGAAACAAGAAAAATCTCAAATAAACAGTCTAACCTTACACCTAAAGGAACTAGAGAAAGAAGAACAAACAAAACCCAAAGCTAGTAGAAGGAAAGAAATCATAAAGATCAGAGGAGAAATAAATAGAAAAAAAGAAAACAATAGCAAAGATCAATAAAACTAAAACCTTCTTTGAGAAGATAAACAAAATTGAAAAACCTTTACCCAGACTCATCAAGAAAAAGAGAGAGAGGACTCAAATCAATAAAATTAGAAATGTAAAAGGAGAAGTTACAACAGATACCGCAGAAATACAAGGCATCATAAGAGACTATTACAAGCAACTCTATGCCAATAAAATGGACAACCTGGAAGAAATGGACAAATTCTTAGAAAGGTATAACCTTCCAAGACTGAACCAGGAAGAAATAGAAAATATGAACAGACCAATCACAAGTAATGAAATTGAAACTGTGATTAAAAATCTTCTAATAAACAAATGTCCAGGACCAGATAGCTTCACAGGTGAATTCTATCAAACATTGAGAGAAGGGCTAACATCCATCCTTCTCAAACTCTTCCCAAAAATTGCAGAGGAAGAAACACTACCAAACTCATTCTACAAGGCCACAATCACCCTGATTCCAAAACCAGACAAAGACACTACAAAAAAAGAAAATTACAGACCAATATCACTGAGGACTATAGATGCAAAAATCCTCAACAAAACACTAGCAAACAGAATCCAACAACACATTAAAAGGATCATACACCATGATCAAGTGGGGTTTATCCCAGGGATGCAAGGATTCTTCAGTATATGCAAATCAATCAATGTGATAAACCATATTAACAAAATGAAGAATAAAAACCATATGATCATCTCAATAGATGCAGAAAAAGCTTTTGACAAAATTCAACACCCAATTATGATACAAACTCTCCAGAAAGTGGGCAGAGAGGGAACCTACCTCAACATAATAAAGGCCATATACGACAAACCCACAGCAAATATCATTCTCAATGGTGAAAAACTGAAAGCATTTCCTCTAAGATCAGGAACAAGACAAGGATCTCCACTATCACCACTATTATTCAACATAGTTTTGGAAGTCCTAGCCATGGCAAACAGAGAAGAAAAAGAGATAAAAGGAATACAAATTGGAAAAGAAGTAAAACTGTCACCGTTTGCAGATGACATGATACTATACATAGAGAATCCTAAAGATGCCACCAGAAAACTACTAGAGCAAATCATTGAATTTGGTAAAGTTGCAGGATACAAAATTAATGCACAGAAATCTCTTGCATTCCTATACACTAACAATGAAAGATCAGAAAGAGAAATTAAGGAAACAATCCCATTCACCACTGCAACAAAAAGAATAAAATACCTAGGAATAAACCTACCTAAGGAGATAAAAGACATATGCTCAGAAAACTATAAGACACTGACGAAAGAAATCAAAGATGACACCAAACAGTTGGAGAAATACATCATGTTCTTGGATTGGAAGAATCAATATTGTGAAAACGACTATACTACCCAAAGCAATCTACAGATTCAATGCAATCCTTATCAAATTACCAATGGCATTTTTTACAAAACTAGAACCAAAAAATCTTAAAACTTGTATGGAGAAACAAAAGACCCCGAAGAGCCAAAGCAATCTTGAGGGAAAAAAATGGAGCTGGAGGAATCAGACTCCCTGACCTCACACTATACTACAAAACTACAGTAATCAAGACAATATAGTACTGGCACAAAAACAGAAATATAGATCAATGGAACAGGATAGAAAGCACAGAGATAAACCCACACACCTATGGTCAACTAATCTATGACAAACGAGGCAAGGATATACAATGGAGAAAAGACAGTCTCTTCAATAAGTGGTGCTGGGAAAACTGGGCAGCTACATGTAAAAGAATGAAATTAGAACACTCCCTAACACCATACACAAAAATAAACTCAAAATGGATTAAAGACCTAAATGTAAAACCAGACACTATAAAACTCTTAGAGAAAAACATAGGGAGAACATCCTTTGACATAAATCGCAGCAAGATCTTTTTTGACCCACCTCCTAGAGTAATGGAAATAAAAACAAAAATAAACAAATGGGACCTAATGAAACTTCAAAGCTTTTGTACAGCAAAGGAAACCATAAACAAGACGAAAAGACAACCCTCAGAATGGGAGAAAATATTTGCAAATGAATCAACGGAGAAAGGATTAATCTCCAAAATATATAAACAGCTCATGCAGTTCAATATCAAATAAACAAACAACCCAATCAAAAAATGGGCAAAAGACCTAAATAGACATTTTTCTCCAAAGAAGACATACAGATGGCCAAGAGGCACATGAAAAGCTGCTCAACATCACTAATCATTAGAGAAATGCAAATCAAAACTACAATGAGGTATCACATCACACCAGTTAGAATGGGCATCATCAGAAAATCTACAAACAACAAATGCTGGAGAG